GAGGGGTGGAGGGGCCCGGAGGGTTGATGGAACCCGTACTGAGGGAGGACGGACATACGGGTGCAGTTCCGCCGCTCCCTACCCCCCGAGGGTGGGTGGGGGGTTGGGGGCAGCATGTGGGGCTGTCGTGACAGCTATGCGGGGGAAGGGCTGCGGGGTGTTCCAACAGGCAGACGGCCAACATCACCATTACCACACCACACCATTTCCACCATTAGGGGCTCCGAAGGGGCCAAAGGGATTTCCTTCTCATTCCCAATTTCCAATAAGCCTCTTTCTTCACGACTTCCTTCTCTGACCAACCCCCCACCCACACAACCCCCAACCCCCGCCCACGCCGGGTCCAATCGCAGGGCGTCGTCTTCTACGCCATCAATGTCGGGGTGGGGCTGTCGGTTGCTATACCCGGCTTCGCCAATCGTATTGCACACGGCCTGTTGGGCGAGCTGCCCTTCGGCTCTATCAGCTTGGTGGGTGAATGGGTGCGAGAAGGGTGTGTGTGTATGTGTGCCGCTGATTTCTGTCTGAACAGCCTGCCTGCCAGCTGCCTGCCTGGCCAGCTGCCTGCCTGCCTGCCGCCCCACAAAGCGGCTCCTGAATGTCGTTCACGGGCCCGCGGGCCGCATTGCTGCCTGCCTGCCGGGTTGGCGACCTGCTGGCGGGAGCTGCGGGGAGTTGGACGTGTCAGTGTGTTTTGTGTATTGGCTGTGTCGTCATCTCAAATTCGGGAGGCTGCAGAAGCCAACTGAAATCCCAACCGCCCAACCGAACCAAATCCGAAACGAACCTGACCGACCCACCGACCCGCAGGTGGGTGTGCGGTCTCTGGAGGAGGCGAGCGCCGCACGCCGCAGCGGGGCGGATGCGCTGCTCATCAAAGCTGAGCTGCTACAGTCGCACGGCACGGATGTACAAGCATTAGGCAATGCGCTGCAATATGCCGTCACGCTGGATGACTGATGTATGTATGTGTGTATGTATGTTCGTATGTATCTTTTGCTCTCTGTTGCAGCCTTTCTTTGAGGTTGCATATCCCTCTCATCCATTTTACGAGCCTTGACGTTGCTCAAGAGTCTGTGTGTTTGTGTATGTATGTATGTAGTATGTATGTATGTGCATGCCTTCGAGCAGTAGGGTGATACCGTGGAGGGGTTAAGGGCTTGGAGCAGCTATGGCAGTTGGGTTCGTTGGGGCTCTCTGTCCCCTGGCAGTTGGGTTCGTTGGGGCTCTCTGTCCCCTGGCAGTTGGGTTCGTTGGGGCTCTCTGTCCCCTGGCAGTTGGGTTCGTTGGGGTTCTCTGTCCCCTGGCAGTTGGGTTCGTCGGGCTCTCTGTCCCCTGGCGTTGCGTAGCGAGTGGTGACCTGGGGGCGAAGAATGGACAGGGGGCAGGTTGCGCGGTGAGATTGCGTGCAGGGGGGGAGCATCGTTGTTGGCGCGGTGGGTAGGGTAGGTTGGTGGGGGAGAAGGTCGAGGGCAATGCAGCTACGGGGCGGAGGAGTGGGCTAGTTCCCAAACGTGTGCTGCGGCGATGCAGGAACTTAGTTATTGGAAGTTCAAACTACGATTCAAATATTTATCCACGTCGGATGGGCGCCATGATCCGAGATCCCTCGAGAAGTTGACGGCGGGAGTTCCAGACCGGATCCATTTTCCTTGCAGCCAGCTGGATCTTCTGGCTGGGGCTGGATTTCAGATCTGAGTTCTCGGGCACCTACAGCACCAGCCCATGCGCAATTCTGCCATGTAATGTAAGGCTGCTGCTGCTGCTAAGCAGATAACTATTAATAGCCAAATAAGTAATTTATTGAAGGTTGTACGTGAGGATTTGTGTTGCAATAGGGCGGGATGGTGAAGATGTGTGTTAGGATGTCCGGGTTTTCGTTCGGGTCAGCAATAAGCCCCTGCTACAGCTATCATTCCTGGCCAGTCAACAGGAGAATGGGGCTGAATGGGGAACGCTGGCAGACGCCGGCGGCATCCGTCCAATTGCGCGTCTTTGTTTATCTGTCTGTTTGTCTGTATTTATATCTCTATCTATCTACCACCACTGGCTAGCCATGGCTTGCCGCAGAACGTAAGCAATGTTACAAACACCCGCCCGCCCGCGGACCTGACGGCAATGTGCGGCAATGCTGGCAAGCAGCGGCACAAACTTGCAGAACACGAAGAAGGAAGAAGGAAGTAGAGGTTCCGACTCCGATACCCGCCTTTGGGCTGTGGGAAAACGCGTATGCTTGCAAAACACTGCCGTGAGCAATACCTGCGGCCAGGGATAGTCTCAAAGCCAAGATAAGAAATTCTTCACCGGACGGTTGAAAATGACGTAAAAGCTCATAAGCAAGTCCACTTCGACCTCAAAACGAACCAACGACTTGCACTACCGTCATGCACCTAATAGATTATTGGCGGCATCCACCTCGTGACTCCTCCCGAATATTAAAACCCATGTTGCCAACCAGCCTATTCAGGCAACGTGTCGGGGGGGGGTAGGGATGCAGGAAACACGTCATCTTCTGCAGTTGCAACTCGTGCGAAAGCAGCAACCCTTCACAATGAACAATGGTACGCCATCCGGTATATATGTATATATGTACGTTTATAGCTAGGACCTGCATGCTAATTCCCATATATTTGCTAAGATGACGAAGATGGCAACGTATGGCACCCAGCCAGCTACCACTCCTTATGGCGGTCCGAAAGGCAGAGCAAGCAATAGGACTTCCAGCTGCTATTCAAGCAGACTTCACTTGCTGCGCACAAGCATAACGATGATGATGATGATGATGATGATGATGATGATGATGATGATGATGATGATGATGATGATGATGATGATGATGATGATGATGACGATGATGATGACGACGATGGTATTAGCGTACTAGGTACAGTGTCGTGCATGTCGTGGCTCATGGACCCGTGGAGGACTACTACATATACGTATACATGCTCAGGAGTACGCAGGTAGGTAGCCCTCAGTTCCACTCGGCCCACTTATATGTGCGTGTGCAATCCTGCTTTCGCCCCGCCCCGCCCCGTCAATACTCAATCAGGCAGCAGGCCGTTGATGAGACATGGCAACCATGTCACTCGTATTTTCCATCTAGGTGGCTAGCTAACACAAGTACGTGGTCTACCTTGAACCACATACATGACGACGAACCTCCAACACGCACATGCACGGATAAAAAAGGGGCCAACGATTTATATGTATACGGCATAGCAGCGAATGGATACAGTACTTCCACTCAAATTGCTGGCCATGTCTGGCCGCACGCCTGTCTGTAGTGACAAGTGTCTGCTGTCGTACATGCTGCACGGCGGATAATCCTGCTCAGCTGGGTATATAGTACCTTCAATTCCTTAAATACGGCAACGACCGGGGCACTTTACCTGACTGCTCATCACGCACGCTTCGGGGGCTGCTGTTTGGTAATCGCTGAATATATATTAATAACGCGCATGTCTAACAGGGGGGCTGCATGTACCTCCCTCGGCTTCCCACTTCAGCACACGATTGCACAAGCAAGGCGAATATCCACAGCTTGCAATGCACACGAAAACGAATCCATCTTTATAAACGTCTATCACATTCGACCTGCCTAGGCCTTGGCCTAGGCCTAGGCCTTCAGCATACATGTAATGCAAGCATGCATATATTTGTCCATTCGTACATCCGGGCATGCACACCCTACCCTACCTGCATCAGCACTCCCACGCACCCCCAAATAGTCGCCATATGGCATCTATGCGGTGAAGTGGAGTGACAGGGGTATCGGAGAGGTCTCTGGACAGCTGCCCGGGGACGTGCTGCCCAGCAGGCGCCCATACCCCATTCAGCTCAATACATTTGGACCGCCATGTGCATGGCTAGGAAAGCCGGTCGTGAGCCCTGGGGCGGCATGTGCTTGTGAGGGATCTGAGGGTAGTGCTGGTAGTGCAGAAGTGATAGGAGTGAGTAGCTACCGACCTGCCTTCGTCCATAACCGGTACTGGACAGCAAGCTGCCCCCAGATACACCCCCACCTCCCCACCCCCCACATGAAGGAACTTGGAAGGCCTATATGCCTACAGGCTGCCGCATGTGAATCAGGCACCTAACCGCCCCTGCTATGCATGTACATATGTACATATGTCCGTCCCAACACAGACCCCCAGGTCAAACTGCACGCACTATCATCACGACAATCTGCGCGCCTGCCCGCGGATCTACACTGGAAGGGGCATGTGCCGCAACACCGCCTGGTGTTCATTAGCCTCGTCATCACTTAATGGACACGCAGCGCACATAATGGATAGCGACCTGTGTGCCACCGGGTCCCTCCTTGCCACACCCGAACCGGAGTGACCAGTGAGCTCAGGGCCATAACCTGAATGTACCTGGTGCTCTCCTAAAGTAATGGCGCCCCCGTCTTTCCTGGCACCCGTCCCTGAGGCCTTCTGAGCGAACCCTACATTACCCCCTCCCTGATGCTCAAAGAAGGGAAGCTCGCGGGCCTCGATGTTTTAGCGGGTTTAGCGGGTTTACGTGGTTTAATGTCTATATACAACCTCATGTATGTCTTAAACCGGTCCTCTAATCGTCGTTGCTTCGACGTGGTGATGGTGTCCGGGGCGGCGATCGGTCAGTTCGCAGCGGTGATGGTGTCCGAGGCGGCGATCGGTCAGTTCGCAGCGGTGATGGTGTCCGAGGCGGCGATCGGTCCTTTGGCGGCGGCCGCACAGTGAGGCTATCATCCGGCGAGGGAGGTGGGCTACTGGAACCCGGTGGCGGAGGCCGAGCTTCCCTGTCCTCTGGGGAGGGGGGGAAGGGCTGGTTCAGGAGCACTGAGGGTGCAGATTGCGTTGGTGGTGGAGGAGGAGGAGGGCTTGGTGGCGGTGGTGGCGGAGGGCTGGGCGGTGGTGGAGGAGGAGGGCTTGGTGGCGGTGGTGGTGGGGGGGCTCTTGTCGGGCGCTTAGGAGGCGGGGGCGGTGGGGACGCTGGCGGTGACAGTGGTGGCAAGGGCGGCCTGCACGGACAAACAGCGCCGGTTTCAATTCACCTAGCCCCGGTCAGGTGACCTTGTTCGGTGTCACTGCGTGCGAATGGACGACTGAAATAGACATCAGCTAAGCAGATTGGAGATGGAGAGGGGGAGATGCCAAGGGGGGCCCAAGTCCAAACACGACATTCCTGGGCGTGCTCCCCACAATTCCGAGGAACCAAACAAGCCAAGAACAACGCGCAACGCTGAGGGGGCCCCGTGTGTGAGGAGCTAGAACGACAGAAGACAGGTGCCGCTTAGGGAGCGGCCGCTGGTGGGAAAGGGAGGGAAGGCCACTTACGGAGGCATGTCCACGCACTCGTTGGGTCCGTCCACGAAGCGACAGATCTTAACGGACATTGAGGACGTTACGGGATTAAAAGCTGCATGATTTAACAGGGAGGCAAAAGGCACTAAGTCAGTTCTTGGGTATAATACACATATATATATATACACACACACACACACACACACACACACACACACACAGGGCGCCTTTCGATGCTGGCTGCTGGCTGGCCGTCTCCTGGCACAGCTTTCGAGGTTGTGGGCCCTTCCTTTCCTTTTTCCCTCCGTAGACCTATACCGCTGTGTGTGTACAAGGTATCCGGCGGTTCGGGCCCCGCGTCAATGCAGGCGGGGACAGCGGCCCCTCACGCTGCTTCCCTTTCCCCTAAGGGGGGAGTGCTTCGGCGGTCTGTGTCTTGTTAGTTGGGGCTGGGCAACAGCCCCTGCCCAACGTCATGCCCGGCAAGATATGTAATACACACACGCACACGTTTGCACACACAAACACACACCCACACCCACACCCACACAGGGGGGACAGGCCCAGCAACTCAATCAACCTGCTGATGCCGCTGTATAACATACGTAGCAGAGTGCGCAGTACACAGAGGGCTACCTTTCCTCAGTCCAGTTACACTGCCAGGCATGTACAGTAATTATACATGATGGATCAATCGAGCGAGTGAGGTATAGAGGCGAGTACTTAAAGATATGTTGTTAAATAGACAAAAGATAGATAAGAGATGCCTTTCCACTAAGCAAAGGTACGCGATGTCCTGATCAAGCAACCTTATCGCCGCGCGCTTCCTTTAGGCCGCACCCCTCATGCGTGACCTACCTCCGGTGAGCAGGTAGAGCTTGTAGTTGAAGTAGCTGGATGGGCTGTTGGCACCGACCACGCCGATAATGGACACTCGGGGGTCCCCGGGCGCAGTGAAGTCGTTGTCAATGTCCTTGTTAACCTCATGGATGCTGATCTGCAACAGAACACAACATAAAGAGAAACGAAAATAAATAAATAAATGGGACCGTTGCTGGGATTGTACGGGTAAAGGGGCGGGTACGACAGGGTACGACAGGCATCCATGGACCAAAGGTACGGGAAAGGCGGCTGCTGGGTTCGATATAGCTATTTTTGGGGGCACGTATGGCTGGGTGGGTTACGTTATTATATCCCGTCAGAAGAGGACTTGCCAACGGGTCACAGGTCAAGATCAGTGTAGTAGCTGTCGTGCAGTACAGTGCACACACCTACTGTAAATACACGCGAACTTGCACTCTTTAGGGGCCGTGTTAGGGATCAGCTGCTGTAATCGGCGTCAGGAGATAGGCCAGGAAAGTACTGGCGGGTATAGGCATGGCTGGCGGGGTGACAGGATGTCGATTGGCCGTTGTGTTCATTTCGGATGCACCAATGCATTTTGCCAACCCACCCCCAGCGATATTTCATGGACCGAAAGCAACCCAACCAAAACCGCGCAAAGTCGTCCTCAGTAGCAAAGCATGTGAGTTTGGCAGTCACGGGGATCGCGGGGGTAGTATGGAAAGTAGGGATGGGCCATGTGTATGTGTGTGTACGTGTGTGTGTACGTGTGTGTGTGGGTGTACGTGTGTGTGTCTCTCTGTGTGTGCACATGCACCCGCCGTGGCCAACCATGCAAACGAAATAGTCACCTTGCCGTTGAACTTGTCCAGGAGACTTATGTCACCCGCTGCCTTCACGCGAAGTGCCAGGTACACATTCCTGCGGCAGAGGTGGGAGCCACTCACGTCACCAACACCACCGACTAGCAGACGGACGACAATTCACAATTTATGGCTAGGTTCCTAAAGGAAAAACATAAAATTGGGCTGGGGAAACCGAGGACGAGCAAGAGCAACCCCAGGTCGTGCAGAATAGGCGATCCCAGAATGCTAAAGCTAGTGTACCGCTGTACGGCGCATGGGGTACGGCGGTTTGTACGCCGTAGTTTGACTTATATGGCGCAATACCTCATGTGGATAAACATTCTTACTTTGTGTAGAAGTCGAGCCAGTCCAGTCGAATCTTGATCATGACCCCCGTGGGGCCCAGATACGTGGCGGGCAGGGTGAAAGTTCTGAAGGTCGCGACCGGGAAGGATGAGGAGTTGAGCTCCACCAGGGGGAAGGCCCAGCCGAGGCGCATGAGCTCCGGGGCGGAGGGGCAGCTGTCGCCATAGCCCATGGCAGTCGATTCGTCATTGTATTCCACACCGTCCTGCCAGCCGTGGTAGAGCCCAACGTTGTGCAGCATCTCTTGCATCACTGTGCCCTTGGAGAAGATACCCTGATGAGAAGACAGCAACACGCGCGCGCACACTCGCATCCATGTGGATTTGAATGGGCATGTGCAGGTGCAGGGCCGTGGACATGCGCCTACAATGAGGTGCTTAGACAACTCCAGACACACCAGATATGTTAAAAAGCACGGTACTGTGTACCTTGAATGTTCTAGAGAGATAAATCTCGACAGTGTGCGGAATATGCATGGATGACGGAATCAGGTTTTGTCATTTGACCTTCCAATCGACTCGGAGCTTCACGGCTGCTGATCCGGCAGATTCCGCTAGATGATATGCTGGTGGTGGGTGCTGAACCCGAAAACGTCAATAGCTTCGTAGAAGTCGGCACACATGCGTTAGACAAGTAAGTGCTAACCGAAACAAAGGGACTGCCGGGACAGTGGTCACGGGCTGTTCTATCACGACTACAGAAGAGTACCGATCGGTGCACATCAGATCCCGTAACACTCCATGGATAGTGGCCATGGGTGAAGCTTGGGCCCCCCATCCTACACAATCATACGCCGCCTAACTTATCATCTCAACACGTGTTTCATCAGCACCCTCGCTACAGCAGTGACATCCAAATACGACCCACTGCAACCCATGCAGGAGTTTTACAAGACGTGCGTAGCCCCCCTCCCCCAAATCGCCTCCGTACATCTTCTTCTCTTATCTAACCTAACTGGACGATCAGCAACTGCCCTGGGAGCCCAGTTGCATGGATATACTATATTGGGATGGCACTTTTGTGTAACGTACAAGGAATGAGAACGACAAGCCAGTCGGCGTCCATCGTCAAGAAAGAAGAGGCGAACGAACGATGATGATGGTGAAAAGCAGCCTCACCGCCAAGCCCCTAAGAACGCACCGGTACCAGTCGAGCTGCCCACCTGCGAGTCGGCGGTGAACCAGCTCTGCGCCCCAGGGAGCTCCGCCAGACCCACCCAGCCGCATGTCACGGCGAAGTCCACGGGCAGCACGTACAGGAAACGCGCGTACGAGCCAATTTTGATGCCTGTATGCAGCAAGCATGTAAAATCGCAGCCGATGAGGCACACGCGTGCTTGAAGGACGAAAAGGTAGGCCTCATCGCCGAGCAAACAAGGTCCACTACTCCGTCGTCTGCCAAAGCCATACACCGGATAACTACTCGCAAAGTCGGGAAGTGAGGAGCTGAAGAACGCGAGGAAGTAGGGGGTCGAGCTTGGAAGCTAGTGTTTGTTTGTTTGCGTGTGTGTGTGTGTGTGTATGTGTGTATGTGTGTGTCGCGTTGCGTTGCGAGCCGAAGATGTAACCTGAGCCCCATACGAGCATGAGGCCCAAGGGCCTAGGGCTGTATGTATGAAATGGATAAAAACGCAATAGAAAACTAAAAAGACTACTACCCCATCACTCAACACGAAAAAGGGGAAAAACGGTGTCGAATTAACTGAGCTAATTGTGCTCCTTAATTTTGATCATACGCCCGTTATCGTGCATATCCAAACGGGCTAGACACGGGTGTACGACGCTTTGGAAAGCTGCTTCCGTGCTTGGGCATTGAGGGCAGCACCTGGCATTAACAACGTCCAAGGAAAGTTGAAAGAGGCTGAGAAGGTAATAAGGGCGAGTAGGAGCCATCAGCCATGCTGGTTCATTCATTTCTGTACGCCTATGCCTATCTAGGCACGTAGGTACGTAGCCGCGTAGTTCTTTCCACGTACCTGATGCGGTCGCTTGCTGCTGTGCAGCTGATGCGATGGCGTCCTCGGCGCACCTCATAATCGGCAGTGAGCAGCTGACCGCAGTAGACACCACCTGGCGCATGGTGCGTGTGAGGATATGCAGAGCCGGACGGGAGTCGGCAATAAAGGGCGGCAGCAGCGGGGAGCGGAAGTACGAACGGGCACAGTATTTCTAAAACATCACTTTTTTGATGAGCTCGAGCTCGAGATGTGGGGCCGACTCCCGCTGGGACCAGTACTGGAGTAACGTCAGCGCAACATCAGAAACGTTTGCAATGCAATAGTCGATTTGGTCACATTTCGTGGGACCCGGGATGGCGAGGTCTATACCTGTGCAAGGTGCTGAGGACTGACTAACATTTAGGAGGGTAGGTCTTCATAACTTCTCAGCTGCGCGTCTGCATGTGTAGTTTGGGTAAAATATGCAGTTGTAACCAGGTCCTGATTATTGCAAAATTTTAAAATAATAAATTCTGGAAAAGCACCTATGGGGTGTTTCCACTTAGGATAAATAACAGGTATTTTTCATCCGCACCAATCCTCCGCTAATCCAAGGCAGTGTTTCATAAGTCTGGATGAAGGAACGGAATAAGTGCAACGGGCATGAAATGCAAATACGACATATAAGGACTAGTGAACCCTAAGTGGAAACACCCCCTTACCGTGAGGGCCTGTCTGTTGAACACCATTCTGCCGTAGCTGCAGTTGCCGAAGAAATCTGCGTAGCCGTCCGGCTCCAAGAACGCATTCCGCACATCCGTCACCTAAATATCATCGCATCGGCACGGACTGGATGAGCAGTGTACATACATCAGCACAAACAGCACACCGTCCATGTCATCAGAATATCTGACGCCGTGTGCGAGAAAACACGTCCGACAAACAAATTGTTACCACGAAAATACAGCTGCTTAAAACGCGGATTGAGTGCCCAACTCGCTTGTCCCGGTCACTAATACTAGCAATAAATCTCGCCCTGCCCCGCTCGCCTCCACCTTCCTGGTAGGAATGTAGCACCCTATCCAGGCTGCTGCTGCCAAGGACGACCCCCAGAAAGCAGGCATGAACGTGGCCCCGTGTGGGCGTCTCTCTGTTGACTAATGGGATGGCTCATCGGCAAAGTCAGGCAGCAAGTACTGCATTTGAATGGAGGAGCCCAATGGAACTATGCGCCTCACACTCACGCACATTGGCCCCCGGGCGGCTGGCGCAGCTGGCGCTGTCGGTAAGGCTGACCACCATGACCAGCACAGATAACGTCAGGTTGGTGGACTGCACGGGAGCCGCCGCCACAGTGACCTTTGCTGCGGCGACGCTGGTGCACACAGTTGACTTCGGGCCGGACAGGATACAAGTCTGCGATGGACACACACACATACATACACACACACACACGTACACACAGAGGGAGAGGGACTCCAGTCAGTAAGTGCGCGAGTCGATAAAAGGGGATAGAAGGAATTGAACGAGGCGCACGAAGGAGTGGTACCAGCAGACGCCGTACTAGCTTGTCACAAAGCCCACAGTAATGAAGGACCGCATGTGTAAGGAAAGGGGGATAAGGTAAGAGATGACTAAATTCGGTGACACTCGCAACCCAGAAGGAGTAGTGGTAAAATGGGACCCGAAGCTTTTTCATTTCCCTGCAGCCACTCACCAGACTGATCGTCCTTCCCGGCGGAATGGGCATTCCCGTGGTGCCGTCTATGGGTTGACCCGGTAGTTGGTAGTTGGTGGTTACTTTGTTGACCACGACCCCAGTCAGCAGCCATGTCCCCGCCGGCCGTGTAGTCCTATACTGCAATTTGCCCTGCATGCATCATCAGCGGGACGCGGGGGACGCACACATCCACTCAGCAGGCAGGTAAACGGCTAAGTGGGGCCCGCACCAGGCCTAGCTCGCTTGTTCGTTAGTGCTCTAGGTGATGGTGTTATTGAACGAGAAGTTCATTATCATCAACGCGCTGACCTGCGCACTCACCTGAAGGGCAAGAGCGACGGAAGTCTGGCTGGGGGTGGGCACAGGCGGCGGCGGTGATCGCAATGATGGTGGCGGGGGTAGCTTCTTCACTGGCGCGGCACCAGCGCCTGCAGAGAGGCAACCATGGAGCATACATACATGGAGCATACCTATGTACATGGAGCATACACACATACATGCATATATGCGGGAGGAGCCATGACTCCTGATGTATATACCTATGAGAATACACAATAGCAGAACTAAGTGGAATGATTACGTCTGTCTGCTTGGTGTATTGGCCACAGTCTTAGGGTTTTAGGGTTTACCCTTAAGGTATCCCACTCATCAAGAACTAACACACACACACACACACACACACACACACAAATCCAGTTCAATCGTTGTTCCGATGATCCCTTGGATGGATGGCAGAAACATTTGGAACACCTGCGTTGACCTCCTCCCTTGCAGTCTAAATGTGCAGCCAGCTCCGCTTTCGCGATAACTATGAGACAGATCAATATAGCCCTGGCACAGCCATGGCGCAGCACTGTATGGGGAGCTGGTAACGCGCAATATGCACACAGCCGCCCGTAGTCACGATGCTGCTTGATAGGAATGCAGATAGATAGGACAGCCAAGTGGATAGCATGCATGGCGGGTACGTACGTACGGCGGTCCGTACCTGTCGTCATCAGGGCCAACAGGACGAGTAGCGAGGACAGCATTAGTAACGGTGGACAGCACTGCAGGGCAGGAATCTGTCCATGCAACTGCCTCCGCCGCTGCTGCTGCCGCTGTTGCTGCCGTTTGGTGCACCGACACCCTATGTACCGAATGGTGTAACCGTTGCTGCTGCTGCTGCTGCTGGGAAGCATGATTGACGACCCGCCCGCGTAGCTTGCTTGGAGTGCTGTGCACCTGTTCAGTTATGTCTTTTTTTTATTTCGCCAAGCAGGAACTGTCGAAGGCCACTCTGGTTTTGGAGCCCTGCCAGCTGCGACGTAATCTGAGTAGCAGTGTCAGAATGTATAGATCCCCCGTGTTGAATCCCAGCTAATTGAACCAGTTTCTGAAGCCAATACGAAGGCGGGCGAAGGGTAAAGGAGGCCGTATTGTGAAAAAAGGCAAGGAGGCTTACAACACAATCCAGCTTACGCTTGTCCTATACTGCTCACTCACGGTAAAAGCTGTTGATTGCTAAACCGCGAAAGCATGTACAGCAAAAGCCGTGAACAGCCATTCATGAACAAGACAGTTGCAAACAGGATGTACGTTGAACATAATAGTTTAGAAGCACCCCACGTACTTATAGGATTTGGTGGCCAGGTAGGAAGGGGCAGGCAGAAAGCAGCTCGTTGGGAGCTGCAAAGCGGTTTAAAGCTATTGCGGCAACTTGGTTACAATTATCAAATAATAACCTTACAGTTTCACATCAGCACAAGCTTAGCAGAAAGTCAGTCAGGTGCTTATCAAATTGATGACGGACCCGCTACGAGCACGTATTTCCGTAAGGCCCAATAGGAGCTTGAAGGCCACGACCAAAGAAAGAAGGGATCTAGTCGGAAGCCACATCTTAAAGCTGCGATACCTAAGATTTGCAAAAAAAATCTAAGAAGATGCAGGGGCCCCTCGTGAGAAGCTAGTGAGATTACTCGTATATAACCGTAGACGACGGAAAGGGAGGAAGAGCCCTTGCAAGTAAGTCATCCATCAAATAAAATTGCAGTACTTAAACTATTACAGGAAAGTTTCTAGAACTTCCGGCTACTTATGCATAAGTTAACGTGTAGCATTTTATGCCAATGACGAGCGGACGTTTTCAAAGCACAGAATATCCATCTAGCCTGTTGATTGATAAAACTAGAAATTGATTTAATTCTCCACCTCTATTATCAGCGTGTTGATGTATGAAGCCACTTGCAGCCCAGCTCCGGACAAGGAAATACGGTACCTCGCTCAGGCTACAGGCCCGCTCCTCGATGTAAAGATTTGCCAGGGAAACCAAGGATTTTGTAATTATATGATTGTAAATATATTTTTCTGGTGTTCCCACAGCCTCCAAAGGCCTTAGGCAGTTCGCGCTTCCCGGTCAGACCTGCAACCCTCCGCCGTCGCGCTGCCGATTAATCAGGAAACCAGCACCGCGGTCAGTTGCCAGCAAGCGCAGCCAATTGTGCATCAATGTTGCAAGTGAAGCGAGCTGTCAAGTACTGTTGAAAATATTACTGTTTTATTGCACTGCTTATTAGGTTAGGCTCTGTTTGCAGCACAACTCTTCCGGCGGGCTCCAGGCATACACATCACCCTAACGTAATCAACTTTCCGCCGTTGCTCAAATCTTGAGGAAGCCTCGCTTATTACTTTATTCTTGCGAGCACGCAGTGCAAGACTTATACGGTGCTTACCATGTACCGTCCTGCGAAGGCTATTCGGTTGGCTATTGCAGTCACAGATTTATGCAAAATTCATGGCCACAAGAAAAGTCGAAGAAGAGGCCCATGTTGCATCAGATGGCTCTTTCCTCCTGGGCTTTGGCGGCGCGGACTCTGTTTTCGGCACTTTGAAGCGGACGGACTTTTCATCTGCTTCTAGCTTGGCAACATCCTATCCAGTGAAACGTTTTGGGGTCCTCCTTGCGAGGCGGTTTTTGTTTCTCGCGGCAGCCTTAACGATACTGCAGCCTGCAGGCCCTAGGAAGGCGGATCCGTCACAGAGATTTATACTCCCTTCCATTACCTAACCTTCGCTGTCCGACCTATGCTGTCCCCTTGCAGCGTAGAAAAAGCCAGCCGTCTTCAGCATCGTCCATAACTAACGATTCTTCCCTGAAAAAGGAGAGGGCCACTTTGCCCAAAAAACAATTCTACCGTATCCTGCAATATCTAATTGTTGCCGATTTCTGAACGTCCGTATCGAACCCCGCCTGGAGAATCTTCACTCGCAGGCTCCCAACTGCTGTTTGGTTGTTGAACTGTACATGGAGCTCCGTTATGGAGGGCATCATGGCGGCCCCATCCTCAGCTTCTCCTTCGGCCGCACTACCGTCGCGCCACGTCTGTGCTGCGCCTGTGCTGCCATCCTTCCATCCAACTACGCATACCAGTAGCAATGATTCTCAGGTCCCGCCTACGCTCCATCGACATGCCCACCTCTCCGCGCCCAGGCCTGGCACCCATAGTGCCCATCGGGGCTCATAACCTGTTAAGACCAGCAAAGCGCCAAAACCCCGCCGGGGTCCTATTGCTGCTGTCACCATTCTCTGGTATATGAGTGTGGGTTACCTTCCAACAGATGTTCTTCCTCCCAAACTGACAGCATACAGGAAAATGATACGTCCTCGCAACGAGTTACAAACAAGCCACACAGAACACACATTATAACCCGCAATTCATTCCACGCGACCAACAGCATTTGAGCATCCGGCACACCGAACGTTTGCAAACGCCCCCCTTCACCCCTGGCTGCAGCGCAGAGAGAACTTGCACACGGCATCCCATGGCACGACGCCACCATGTCACATACGTGAACCGCCATCAGCGTTGGCCATCAGGATTAGCTTATTCCAGCCAAACCGCGTTAGTAACGGTGTTTATCAGCAAGCAGCTGCGACAGTCGGTCGTGTGGTGCGTCACGTCGCGATGACTCGAACCACCACACTGGCAGGTCGCTTACAAATGAGGCACTTGGCAATCGATTTCCGCCTGCGTAACGTCGCCTCGCACTCCGCGCACATGCAACAATGCACCACGTCTCGGTGCACAAAGCCCATCACGGCACGACTGCTCATGCACACGCAACAGAGCCCCTCCAGCCCGCCCGTAACCTCGCTGCCGCTGCCGCTGCCGCCATCACAGCCACAGGTCACCGCCTCTACTGCACCACCTCCGCCCACAATGTCGCCAGTCAGCGCCGTCCCGGTCCCTCCCAAGCTCGTCGGCTGCAGTACAGTATTTCCCCGGGCACCCTGGCGGTCGTGCTCGCCGGTGGCAGCGCCAGCAGCGCTTCGGTGGCGTTGGCCACTGCGGTTGCCGCCGCCGCCCACATGCTGTCCAGAGCGCAAGTCCCTCGAGTAGGCCAACACCACATCCGTGCTGTCCACGACTGCCCAGATGAATGCGGAGGAAACAAACAGAGACAAGAACGACATGCCGCCAAACAGCCGCAGCGCCAGCGCGGCCATGAGCAGGATCACCGTCACTGTGCTCTTGCGGTCGTCAGCGGAAGAACCGCCGCCGTCACTACGGCCGCGGCTGCGGCAGTGTGCGGCGCGCGCACGCAGACATGCCCCCAGTGGGGTTCGATCCGGGATACCTAGCTTTGACAGACCCTTCTCAGCGCACTCAAAAAGCAGCAGTACCACAAACCGTGCACAGAGAATTGCGCCAATGGCGACAAAGATATCCAGGTATGCGCGCCATAGCACCACCAGCAGTCCGAGAAAGGTCCCCGGACGCGCTGTGTGTGTGAGGGAGCTGACTACGCCAGGGCCGCCGACACCAACGCCGCCATTGGCATTGCCGCAGTGACCGACTGCTGTTGATATGGCTGACGTGGCGGCTGTAGCAACAGAAGCAGCTGTGGCATTGACATTTGCAGCAGTAGCATCCACAGTCCCACTGGCTCCGGCTGCTGTACACAACATCACTGGACCGCCTTCTTCCGCCACCCCAGCCGCAGAAGCTGCTGTTGCTGCTGCTGCTGCTGCTGCTGCTGCTGCTGCTGCTGTTGTTGCTGCGGCGGCGGCCAGGTTCGACCCGGCCACTCCCACCTCCCCTGTCGGGACACCGGTCCTCGAAAATGCCTCTAAGTTGGGGGACAAAGAGGCGCCCGGGGACATGCATCCGATATGGGTGGCGCCACCACCACCACCACCACCTCCCGCAGAGGCACGGCCAGGGAAGCGGAGCGAGGCCCGGCCAAGCTCCAGGGCACCGCCGTCCTGGAGGACGGAGGCGGCGCTTCTGCCCACGATGCAGTGCAACAGCTGCACCAGCAGGTGTACGACAGAGTACAATCCGTACAGAGCCGCCGGGGTGACAAAGATCACCACACATGCCAGGACAATCATCAACATTTTAAGGAAGCCTGCAATCACAGCTATGCCCGCAGCAAATGCATCTACGAGGGCGGCAACGAGCAGTAGTGGGGTAAAAAGGAATAGGAGGGGATTCTTTCGAAGGGCATCTTCCAAGGCGGATGAGCGCGGCTGGGACGGCGGACTGCTCCTATGCGGACTGACCAACCAGCCGCGTGTCGGTCCTGCAGTCCGAGGTGCGGATACTGCTGATGGTGCTGCTGCTGCTGCTGGTGGGAAGGCTGAGGATGGAGCTGGCGGCTTTTGGCGGTCAACACCGGACGTAGTAACGCCATTTGGTTGATGTCCCCTGGCACCGCCACTGCCTGCGCCTCGCATGCGGCAGCCAGTGCCGTTACTGCCAGTGCCGCCGTCGAGGCAGGTAATGCTGCAGCTGGTAGCTACATTGCTCCTGCCGCCACCGCCGCCACGACTACCAGGTTCGCAGCCGCTTTCGCTGCGGTTGGCGCTGCCGCCGCCAGGATGTATCCTGCGGAGGAGCCTCTCTAGCTGCCGGCTCCAAGAGGGCAGAGAGGCATTGGGCCTCGTTGTGCCGGGCCCCACTGCCGTGTGATGGACCCATGCCGCTCGCTGTCCCGAATCCACTGCCGCTGCCACTGCCGATACCACCTGGCCACCGTTGCCACCGTTGCCTGCTGCTACCCCTGCGCTGCTGCCACCACCACCATCACCGTCCCTTGCCGCTGTCGGGGCGTCGGCTGCCAACTTCACAGCTGCCGTACCAAGCTGCAACGCGACCACCACGCTGTGCCAGTTCCGTTCGTCCGCATATGACAGCATCTCTGGCTCTACAAGGGATCCAGCCTGGACGAGCATCGCCACCACGTCAGCACGGTCATGGAAGGTTTCACTAGATGTGCGGCAGTGGAGGGCGTATGATAACGGTGTGTGGTAGCCCTGAGCGTCGACCATAGTGCTCGTGGGCCCTGCACCGGCCTGCAGGAGCATACGAACAAGCTCGCCACTCTCCGATTTGATTGCCGCGAACAGCGGCCAACCGGCGTTGACAATGACACGAGGATGCGTGGCCAGCAGCGTGGCCAGCAGGTTCAGCCGGCGCTTGCAGGCCTTATATAACGGTGAGCGCCGGCGACCATTGAGCCTATTGAGGTCTGTGTGTGAGTGGCTTATCAACGCCTCCACGACCTCCATACGGGAGCAGCAGCTGCCGTCGCTGGCTGATGACGTCAAGCCGTAATCCGCCGCACAGTCAATGGCAGCATGCAGCACAGCATCACCAGCTCGCAGGTGCGCCAAGCAGTTCAGCTGATGGAGCAGCGATGCCGTTGGCAATAAGCTCCCTGCATTGGGATTTGGAGGATTTGGAGAATTGGCGGACCCAGCGGGCCGCGCCTGATGGTTCTCTTGCTGGGAGGGCGGGGCTGTGGTCCCGTGTTTAAGTTGAAATGGCACATTCGGGTTGGCACCACATTCAAGTAGCCTCCGGACAGCGGCAGTGAAGCCCAGCACCACCGCCAGCTGCAAGGGTGTGAAGTCAAACCGCAGGGGCAGGCCCACGGGCTTGGCCAGGTCGGCACCGGCGGCGATGAACAAGTCCAGGAGATGCAAATCCCAGGACAGGATTGTGAAGCCCAACGGTGTGCATTTGCAGCCTTTCGGCAGCGGACCAACGTCCTCCTGGAACACCATACGTTTATTAACCTTTACTCCGGAGCGAAGGCGTGCCTGGATAGCGGCCAGGCCACCTTGTATGTCGTCTTTGCAAAAGGAAACCTGCGGGGGTGGCCAAAGAAGGGAGTGCAGCGGGTTTAGTAGAGGCCGTGGGCAGAAGCCACGAGGATACAGAAAGAGGATAGGGCAATGCCATGTCAGCCACGGTTTAGGATGCCTATTCTGCGGCGTCTTTTTACTTGGCTTGCGTCAGGGTGAGGGGCCGCGCTTGCGGTCCCGCAGGAAACAAGCCCCTGCCGGAAAGGCCTATGGCAACCGGCTATGCTTACCTCGTTACCCATGATTAACCTATGGAACTTAAGAATAAATTCCTAGCCTGGGCTTTTCTACGTCATTCGGGTCCTTTCGCTGTGTCGATATAGGTACGAGCTTAAACGAAAAGATTGCGAAGCTCTATTTTGAGGATTTAGGTAGAGGTGAAATTATTTATGCCTCATCGGATAGCTGCAATGTGACCGCCTACGGACAGCTGCCCGCATCTGCCATCGAGGCAAGCAATTCAAGATACATCTCCAAACGTTCCACGTCGTATTCCCTCATAACTGCAAAGACACGAGTAAATTGTGGACCATGCTTGGAATAGAGGATTCCCCTTTCATGAGCCTGTTATCGGTACGACTATTGGTCATTACTAAAACCCCCGTATCCAAGGTACAGTGAGAAGGTCTTTAAGCGTCAAAGTTATATAAGCAGGTTTGTTCCTATCATCAATCTCCTTGGCTCTTGGCTGTTTTGAATCTTGCTGTTGATGCGTCGTCCGTATAAAGGGAAATGCGAATAGGAAGTCTGGTTGGTTCGCCAACTTCTGTGTACCCAGTGTTGGGAAGTGTCCTTAGGTACACTCAGGCTTGACACTTCGGTAGTTTGATTAGTTGCCTTTATCCCAATACGACATCGAATCAGGATTGGCTACGGTATGCTTATATACTGCTTGCGTCTTCATTCTCTCCCTCTCCTTGTGTAACGATATGAGCGAGTGATGTGTTCACTGAAGGACTCTTATCTCTAACAGGTTATGAGCCCCGTATACGGGGCCGACTTCTCATGCACAATACCCCTCTCAGAAGAGAAGGAGGCAAGGCGATCGTTGACGTACTCCGTGCCGCAATCAGTTCGGACGCAACGAACCTCTAGACCAGTCTGCCGTTCCCACTTAGTCAAAACCTCATGAACAGCGTCGGGGACTTCGCTCTTTGCGCGAACGCAACGAACCTCGGAGTACTTGCTAAAATCGTCGTAGAAGGTAGCGAAGTAGTTGGCTCCACCCAGCGACGTGGTCGGCATCGGGCCGCAAAGATCCATATGGACGAGATCAAGTACGCGTTCACCCTTGTGCGTCGACGAATGATGGGGGCTGCGGGTCATTTTTCCCATAACGCACGGCTCACAGATCTTGCTCCCAAGACGAAGGCTTCCCTTACGGCATATGGCCTCCGAATGGGTCAGTTCGTCAAACAACTGCCTATCAAGACGGGTGAGGCTAGCATGCCCCATGCGACGATGCAAGGTGTCTAACTTCTCCTTGGGGAAGCGATGCGTTGATAATACCCTATTCCACTCGCTCTCTGCCTGCTCAAGCACGATGTACATCCCGTTCTCCTCGAACACATCGACAGCGGGGATTCCGTCTATTGCTATATACGAGTAATCGGCGGACAGGATAACCTCTACCACCTTATCCGGGAAGGATCTCTTCAAGGCTTTGACTGAAAACAGGCGGTGTTGCAGGTCCGAAACTACGTGGACAGATACCGACAATTCCGTCTGCCCTCGAAAAGAGGTGAAAAA